AGAGAGAGAGAGAGAGAGAGAGAGAGAGAGAGAGAGAGAGAGAGAGACTGCATGCGTGTAACTGGTTGCCATGGTGAGGACGCACCTGGTGTTAGAGGCAGACTGATTAACAAACGTTACAGTAAACAGTGATTTTGAACAAAACCTCCTTTTAGCAAAAAAATATGGATACCGTGAGAAAGATAAGACTCTGCCGAACGCGCTGATGTGTTTTTTATGTTTGTGGTGTTAATAATGTGAGCTCCGGAGCAATAGACACAACTGGTACCGTCTGCTTTCTTTGAGAAATGAGTGGTCAGATTTAACATGGAGTCTAATGGAGCAGTTTGTTGGAGTTCATGTCGCTCTGTGGCTCCTTGAGCCAAATGTGTAAGTCTGTGGGATTCCACAGTCATTTGTCTACGACAAGGACAAGATTAGCTACTTCTCCATCAAAAATGATGCATGAAGAGTGAAGATTGTGGACTCAGTGGCAAAAGACATGTTTTTTTCACAAGAATCTCAAGCTGCTCTTCACTCTAGCGGTGACATCACGCACTCTAAGCTGCGCAATACACACCCATTATAAAGTCAGAAAAGGACTGAAAAAATCATAAAAGTTAGATTGCTGCCGTTCAAAAAGTGTAAAAGATATCAAAAAGCTGAATCATTTTTCAATAGCTCAGGGTTTTCTCAACATTTGAAAGTTGAAATGGTGTCTGTAGCTGAAAGTGTGAGGAAGTAGAAGGATTTGAAAGTTGATAAAGTTTAAGAGGATTTGAAAATATTCTCCATAGACATCCCATTCAAAAAAAGTTGCAAAAAGCTTAATAATTCAAAATGTTTAAAGGTTAGAAATATGAAGAGAGACAGCACCCATGAGCTGAAAGAGCTGAACATTTTGATAGTTGAACGGTTTCTGTAGCTCAAAAAACGTACGGAAGAAATAGTTGAAGAAGTTGAATAAAGATTCAAAGAACAATAGTTGGAATGCTTAACAGCATTCCAACAATAAACAGTGAACCTTCCTCCAAACACATGAATATAAACAATAAAACATAAAAATGAATTTAGACTAAAAACAAACACCGAAGAATAAAAGAAATAAACATCTGAATCTCAGATGGGAAATCGTAACGACGCTTTTAGACTTTCAGTTATTGTTTGTCATTTTTAGTTTTATTTAAAAAGAGCAAACACAAACATTTAATCTCCTCAATGATAATATACGAAGAGCAGACATTTAGTTTCCACTCACATATTTTACAATCGATAATCTGATTTCTGTTGAGGATAATTTATTTAATAATCAATAATGGATAAGTGTTTATAGAAAGCTGACAGAGCTTCTTGTTTGGTTCTATTCTGGTTCAAAGTCATGTGACTTCAGGACCAGTTCTCAGCTGTCAGACTAAAATTAACCCTTCAGGTTATTGGCTGGTTCACCGACTCCACCGGCCTTCTACGGTGTGTGTTCATTCACAGCAGTGACTAGACGGAGACAGAACCTAAACTGAAGGACCAGCAGCAGGTAAAACACATTAAAACATCTTCACAGACGGGTCCAGGGTGAGGTTAGCCTAGCTTAACACAAAGGCTGGAAGCAGAGGGAAACTGCTAGCGTAGGCTTCACTGACAGATGTTTAGTTTACTAGATGTTCTGTAGTTTACTAGATGTTCTTCAGTTCTCTAGATATTTAGTTCAGTAGATGTTCTTCAGTTCTCTAGATGTACTTTAGATCACTAGATGTTCTCTAGATGTTCTTTAGTTCAGTAGATGTTCTTCAGTTTACTAGATGTTCTGTAGTTCAGTAGATGTTCTTTAGTTTACTAGATGTTCTGTAGTTCACTAGATGTTCTTTAGTTCACTAGATGTTCTTTATATCACTAGATGTTCTTCAGTTCTCT